ACTTCATCAGTATTTCAAAACTTGGAATTATTTCTCGAGATTTACAAATAAAAAAAAGCAGAAGTCTGTGTGATATTGAAATAATCCTGTCAGAATTTTGGGGAGTATGACAGAGGTGGGAGCTGTTCAGATAGATGCTGTACAGAGCATTCCTGTGGCAGAATGCTGCATAAATTGCCATGTGTGTTGGTGAGTGGGCTGCTTTTCCAAATGTTCAGGAAAACAGAAAAGTTGAGTTGGTTGCTTGCAAGGCAGCACAGTTTGTCCAATAGCTGCTCCTGAGCTCCTGGGAGTTGGATGTGGGTTCATCCCCAAATTCAGAAGTGCTCTGGATTAGATGTTCAGTGGGAAGTGAAACTTAAAATACCTTTGCCCATTTGGTTGCTTGCTCTGCCCAACTTTCTTGAGCAATGTTCTTCGTGCTTTTGACATTTCTTTGCCAAGGAGACGATTGGCACTAGATATTGATGTCCAGTATTCTGTCTGAATCAAGCTTCACGTTCTCAATTGTGTGGCCAACTTTATAATTTAGAAACTATATGAATGTTGCAAAATAATTTGTAAATACTGTCTTTAAAATGTCTGTGATGTTTAAAGGGAGATTTTTTTCATAGTCATTTAAGATTTTAAAATTGTAATTACATTTGAAAAGGTGAAAATGTCTGGTTTAAAATCTTGATTTTTTTTTTTTCTTTTTTTGTTTGTTTTGTTTCCTTGTGTAGCTATGTAGGAAACCTCTCCAGAGATGTGACTGAAGTTCTCATACTTCAGTTATTCAGCCAGATTGGACCATGCAAAAGCTGTAAAATGATAACAGAGGTAAGGCCTTCCACATCTAGGGGAGTAGCAAATGTGATGTAACTTTATCCTGAGTTGTCCAAAATAAATGGAGTGAGTTGAGGGCTTCTTTTGACCTTACTGGTGATGGGTTTCTTTAGGTTGGTTGTGCTGGGCTTTGGGGATGACTTTGCAGGAGAGACCTGTTGTGTGCAGTCCTGTGCTTTTGCCTGTAGCCCTGACATACCTTTATCAGCTGGTGATGAGATTCCACTTGATCTGAAAGATTGTTACCACCTCTTTTCAGAACCACATTGTTCTGATGATCAGGAACCTTATTGTACCGAGTGTTATTCGTGGTTATTTTGGACATTTCTCACTTTATTTGAACATGACCGTCAGTAATTCTTCTCCCTCTTGCATAAATGCTACTTTGCTATGGATGAAAAGTAAAAAATCCTTCAAAATAAGTTTGGCTCTTCCTGAGCCTCTTCTGTGCCATTAAAAATAGCTCTTGTCTGCACCTGTCTGTTCTTAAATTAATTTTTCCTTGAAACAAAGTGACAAAATTTCCATAGAATTCCAGATAAGTTCTTTTGTACAAAGTGCTGGTAAGTATTAATACTTTCTCCTCTCCATTGCAAATGCTCTGGTGTTTGCAATGGGTTGGTGACCATTTCTGAGCTTGTTGACACATCCTGGAAAACTTCTGGCTCCCTGATATTTTTCCTTCCTTCTGCATTTATAACTGATAAACTTGGAGCAGGCAGGGACTGATCAGAACCTCTGCTAGGTTCAATCTTTGGTCCTTCAACCCTGGTTTCTGTGCTCTCTTCCCACTTTTACTGCTTCTCATGCTTTATACTAACTTGTAATTACAGATTTCCCGAGGACAATCACATTAGTTTTTTGTTAACATTATTAATGAAAATATTAAAAGGCAAGTCTTGTGCCCAGACTTCTTTAGGAATGCTGCTAGAAACTCCTCTGTGGACTTGTTTTCCTTTCACTGTGACACACAGCTTTTTGTTAGTTGGTTTTTAGCTCCTTATTAACCACTTAGTGCTTCTTTATTCACTCTCATCTTTTCTGGACTGATAATTTCCCATGTGACACTGAGCTGTGCCACATTTCCTGTAAGTTTGCTGGAGAAAGGTAACAGAAGGCTGGCAGAGCACAGTTGTTTTTCTCTGAAGAAACAGTTTTGATTGTCATGCTCTCCAGAAATAAGGTGCTGCTGCTCCAACCTCAGGCTGATTGAGAGCTGTGAGATCAGTTTGGTTTGTTGAGAACCAGATGAGAAATTCTAACACTCACTTTACCCTGATTGAGACTTTGTGGTTTTAAGATATACATAAGTGGGACATCTTTATGAAGTAAGTAGATAAACAAAAACTGCTCCAGCTGTGTTCAGTGACACAGAGGTGACTGCACTGGGCTGAGCTGAGCCCCTGTGACCAACCCCTCAGCAAGGGCAGGTTGGAGTCTGCACTGGGACTGGCCTGCAGCTCTCAAAGTACCTGTGCATGCTGCTCATCCTTCCAGCCAGTGGGTGGGAAACCTTTCCTGGGAACTGAGTCGTGTTCAGGTGGTTCTTACTGTGCAGTGTTATTACCACCATCAGCCAAGTTTGTACCTGAATGTTCTAAGAATTTATTGATTTTTTCAGTTTTTAGCAGGTGTATCAACTCATTCTTTTTCATTTGCAGAAATGTGACATGAGCAAGTCAAGTGTTTAGAGATTCCAAATGTTTGTTCTGGGGGTATATAATACTGGTATATAATACTCACGGGGTAGTGGGACAGCATCTGCAGGTAGTTTGAACACCAAACTTGTCTGCAGACAAGTTCTCAGTGCTAAAGACCTTCCTACAAGCTAAAAGTAAAGTTGCACTTCAGTTGAAGCACAAACAGCATTAAATGTGCTAAGGAGGCCTTAAATGGGTTTAAGGGAAGAGGGATGAATTAAGGCTTTCTGTTTTGGGGCATCTGAGGTGAGTTTGCTTGTAGAGCACTTTGTGACTGAAACTCTTTTTTTATGATGTCAGGTACATTTGCTCCCAGCTGTTCATTGTGCATCAGGTACTGACAGTGTTTAGAAGGTTGACTTCAGGCTGCTTGATCATTTTAGGTGTATAAAAGGGCTTGTGATCTGTTCAACTGTTGCATCTCAATAGCTTCCCTTGTTCAGATGTACATGTTTGAAGGTGTACAATCCAGTTGTAGGGGGAAGGATTAGAATTTCTTCATCAGAGTGTGTTAGAGTTGTCAGAAGATACACAGTAATACTGGAAAAGGCCTCCTCTTAGAGCTGCTCAGCCTGGCAGTGGGGCAGGTTGATGTACATGAACACTGATGCCAAAGCAGTTTCTCAAAGTGCTGGACCCTTCCCTGTCCCTGGGAGAAATAGTTTGTTTAGTTTAACATTACTGTTTATCAACTTTTGGTCCCTGTAGCTGCAGAGATGTTTTGGTTTGAGTTTTTGTATTTGTTATATCTTTGGGCTAGATCAAATCCAGTGTTAATGTTGGCATTCTAGTCACCCTTTCCACTTGATCAACTTTTCAGAAAACTCTTCTGGTCTTTGCACTTTATACTCTGGTACATTAATGCCTTCAGTGAGCTCTGTCAGTTGGTATTTTAAAGGTGATTTGATAGTCCATCCTGCAAAAACAGGTCGTACCCAAGGTTTAACAGGGTTAACAGCCTGATTAGTATCTTTTTCCCTCACTCAAACTGTTTTGAGTTTGGTTTTTTTTTTTAAGATTATTTTCCAGTTGTTGGGTGTGGCATTTTTCACTTGAGACTGAGAATATGCAACTTCTAGGTTGCTGTCTGCTAGTGATTTTCAGTCAAATAAAAGGGAAGACTTCTTAAATAGGACAAGAGAAAATTGGTGAAAATGTATCTGGGGAACAAACCTTTCAAGCTTTGAGTGTACCCATGAGGCAGTTGATCATTTTTGTTCTTCTCTCCATTCTCCCCCTTTCTATCCCCCCTTCCTTCCAGTCTGCAGATCACTTTTCTGGTAGTTGAATTATTTTTAGTTCAGTAAACTTCAGTCCTCATTCAAAGTAAACTATCTTCAGAAATTGCTAGACCTTTAAGGAAAAGTCCACCTTAATAATTCTTGCATTTAAGTGTAATGTCAAAGGCAATTTCATAAATCTGATGCAAATCATTCTGAAAGTTTCTAGCTATGAGTAATATATTTTCCTGGATTTTCTTCTCAGCAACCCGATAGCAGAAGGGTCAACTCTTCTGTTGGATTTTCTGTTTTGCAGCATACAAGCAATGACCCTTATTGCTTTGTGGAATTTTATGAACACAGAGATGCAGCTGCTGCATTAGCTGCTATGAATGGGAGAAAAATTTTGGGAAAGGTAAGTTGCTTACATTGTAATCTTAGATTTAAACAATGTAGATTTGTGTGAAAGTATTAATAGAGCTGTTGAAGATGTTTACCAAGTTTTAGTACTGTTAGAATAATATTTTTAAAATACTGACTTTAAAAAAAGCGTGTCTTGTTTAAGAAACGTATTGTTTGTGATGTTCTAGTTATGATGGTGGTTTATATTGAAGGATGATTTGTAAACATTGACAGTTGTAACCCACCCTTGAATGAACTTAATGATGCAATAATTTTGTGAATTCATACTAAATCTTATACTTGTTTTCAGGAGGTCAAAGTAAACTGGGCAACAACACCAAGTAGCCAGAAAAAAGATACATCCAGTAAGTAATGTGATGCCACAGTATCACTCCTACACAAATCCTTCACAGCCTGGTAATGATTTGTCATAAATGCATTGAAACATAACTTCTCTCCTTCCCATCTTGTGTTTAATGGAATTTTGCAAACTAATTCTTCTGTTTGTGCTTTACAACTGGGGAAACAGGAGTGGACAGATTAAATTGCTGCTGCTCATCCAATGGAATCCTGAGCGTTCCCGGTTCCCAGTCCCGTGTGCAGAACATCACCTTCTCAGGAGTTGCAACCTTAGATAGCAGTTAAATATTTGATTAGTAAATTATTTATTTTCAGATCACTTCCATGTGTTCGTTGGGGATTTAAGTCCAGAAATAACAACAGAAGACATCAAGTCAGCATTTGCTCCTTTCGGTAAAATATCGTAAGTATCATCATAAACATTTCCAATATCAGTCAGAAAATATGATAGAATTTGTTTCTAAGATGAAATGTTATTTCTTATCTAATGAGATAATTTTCCTGATGTTAATTTTGCTCGGGTGGGTGGGTGGGCAGTAAAGAGGGGTTGTATCTCAGTATCTCTCATGGTTGTAAATACAGTAATGTGATTGTGCTCTGATTTGCTGAAAGCAATGTGCTTTTAACCTAATTTATGTGCTGATGTCCTTCAACTTTTTATTAAAATTTAATTACTGTTCCTAAGTGTGACTTTTTGGTGTTGAGAATTTGATGTACAGAGCAGTGACTTAAAAACTGGTATCTGTGATATCCTTGTGTGTTTCTTATGGGTTCCTACTGCATTTCATAGGCAGTATGGAAAATTGGGCAATTGGAATATAATTCTGTGAAGCAGCCAGTTAATAACTTGTGAATGTTTCGAAAAAAACTGGTACTTATGAGAATGAAATCTACTTTTTTTGGATAATAATGGGATGAATTAAGATTATAATATCTTAAAGAATGGTGGCTTTACAATATGTGCACATTTCTGCCAGTTAAGAAAATGTTTCTTTAAACTTCTCATAGACAATTCAGGTGATGCTGAATCACCTGGTGTCCTAATTGAACATATTGAACATTACAAGAATCCTTGTGAGTGCTAAAATATATATATGTGCTTAAGAGTTCTGCAAACAAAAAAAAAAGTGTTAATCTTCTATCTCGTTATCTTTATAAAAATCTTTAAAAGTTGCACATGAAGGTTTTTGTACTACTTTACAGGAATATATTTCTAAGAACAAAATTCTTATTTTTCTCTTGTTCTGTACGCATTATTTTTAAATGAATCATAAATCTTATTTCTTACCTCTGCTGTTTTGTTTACTTTGCTTTTTGTCTCTTAATGTGGTAAGTAGTACTGTTTTAAAAATCAATTTAAAGAGAATAATTCAGGTTTCTGTTTCTCGATCTATATTTATACCTGAGACCTGCAGTTTTTCTAAAGTCCAAGTCACAATTAAAAGTAATAGCATTCTGGTTATTTTGCAGAATTGCTCATAAGAATGGACAGGATCTTGAAGGCTAACTGCAAGGAACTGTGCACACTGGAACTCAGTTGTAGATTTTTTCTCATTTCTATTTATTCTTATTATACATTATTTATATATACATATTTTAGTATTTACATTTTAACATTCTATATTCAGTGCAGTTCTATATTTCCAATCATTTTAACTTACTCACTAAAATTTCTGTGTAAATTTGTTGTTTTCGTACTGGTGTGCTTAGCATTGTTGTTAGTTTTATTCTCCTTTCTTAAATTTCTGAAAATGTCAATTTTTCAAAATTTACAGCTACCCAAACTCCAAAATGATGGTAGAGAATTGACCAAGAAAAATAAAGAAATCTGTTAACAGGCCATGTATGCCTTTTAATTCCTATTTTTTCCTCTTTTTCGATTTTTTTAATATTTCATATATTTTGTATCACTAGGCAGAAGACATTTAACTATTTAGAAAATGCATGGTAAATTAGATAGAATTGTTACAGTAATTTATAGAACAGTAAACCTTAGAGGACCCTAGCCAATAGAATATTAGAAAAGGAAACTTTGTTTCTCTTATACTTCAAATTTGAACATTCTAGTTATAGCCAGCATAGGTTATGTGCATAGGTTGCATGTTTATTACATGTTATTTTTTTTGTCCTACTGCTTTTTTCTAACAGGTAAAGAAGCAATAGGGGAGAGTTCAGGAATGACTGTAGTTTTAGGGCTAACTGAATTTATAAGAGAAAATTATGCTCACAATACAGTGTGTGTGGTTCCTTTTAGTTTTTATTTTGCAGGTTATTAATATTACCCTCATATAGCTGTGCTTCTTTTCACAGGGATGCACGGGTAGTTAAAGATATGGCAACTGGAAAGTCAAAAGGCTATGGTTTTGTATCTTTTTATAACAAACTGGTGAGTAATCACAATGCAGATTTCAAATAGTTCCTACTTTCCTGGTTTAGTTTTGCTATTTATTAACTTCACCAAGGGAAATCAATTTACATGTACAGGAGCTGTATGTACGGTTAGGACAACATGGGAAAACTTAATCATTTTCCTAAAATATTATGTATAGGAAAAGCACACACAGTTCAGCATTTTAGCAGTTAAAACCTGTTTTGTGTGGTCAGAAGGAATGTCTTTGGCTCTTCTACAGAAGCTGTTTTAATCAGAAGAAAAAGTTGGAATTTCTTTCCTTCAGATACTGCAATTGGATGCCTTGATTTAGTGTATTTTTCCACTAATGTTTTGTTGACCCTGTTACAGCTGCAATAGATAAGGAATAGCTCTTCTATTTCCTTGTACCCTCTTCCCTTACCTTACAGTTGTGTTCAGTTTTCTGTGACTGGAGGGGAAATGTTACAACAGTCATGGAATGAAAGTCAGTGGATACTTTTCAGACTGAGCCATGAAAACTCCAATTTAAAATTTGTGTTTATTCTAGAGAATTACTGCATGAATTCTAAATGTAGCACTAAAAAGTACTTCTAAATTTTATGTCCTGGTTGCTCTTCTTTCACACAGCAGCTGTACCTGCAGGGTTATGGTACAACCATCCTGAGCTTGTAGTTAAAGGCCTGTTTTTGAGAATTTATTGTCATTCTGCTACATTTGGGAATTGGGTATTTTCCCAGACTTCAGGTACTCCAGCCTGAGGTCTTAATGCATTCCACAGTTAAGAGCAAATTAAACTCCTACGTTAAACTGGATCAGTTGTGACCTGGGCTCTGTTCCATTTTTGTCACAGCTGTGATCCTCAAAACTAGCAGCGAGATTCATTAGAGGTAGTTTTCTTTCCTACTCAGCTTGTAACTTATTCACTATGTTTTGGGAGAGGAGGGTGCTTGAATAAATAGGGCATTTTTATTATATGGTGATTTGGTTTTGTCTTTTAGGTTTTTTCTGTTTTTATTATTATTATTATTATTGGTCATCTTCCATAATTTCACTTGTGTATATTTTTCAAAATGAGCACTCCGTGTAATTAAAACTTAAAAATATCAAGGTCCTGAGTGAGTTTGAGAAGAGTGTTGAGAAGAGAAGCCTTCAGTGTGAGGCAGGACGATGCTGAGAGCTCACTTTTAACTGCTCCTTGTTTCCTTTGGCCCTCGTGCTCGGTGGATTTTTGATGTAACTTTATGCCCTTGGAAAAGCATTCCAAACATGGACTATTTGCTCTGCCTGTCTTCTTTCAAAGCAGTTGAGGGGAAAAAATTGCTTCTTGCAGGTGTTAGCAAACTTATCCCTTGCTTACTCAATGTTTCTGCTTCCAGTGTGAACTTAGTTTTCTACGTCATGTTCAAGATAAGAATTTAAGCCACGTGGGCCGTGGACTCTTGTGTGTGTTCATGCAATGGCTTTAATATTTCAAGAACTTACAAAGCAGTCTATTCAGACATCTACTGCATGTCTGCAGAGAGCAGACAGGGGATGTGTGCAAATAATAAATAAAAGCAAACTTAAACACTCAGTCGTTTGTATCTCAGCATTAGAGCTGCTTTGTAACTACCATTTAGCCCTCCTAGAACTTAGAATTTTTCTACCTAAACTTGACCTGTTACCTTGAGTGCACAGTAAGATTCTGAAAAAAAACCCACATTTAGATCTTATACAAGGTCTTTTGCAAACACCTACTGCATGGTGAAAATTTTACTTGGGTTATATCTAAAATATTTTCTAGTGAGGGGATTTTGACGATTCAAGTATTTTGACTTTTCATCTGTTACTGTTAAATATACTTCTTTATTTTTTGGCAAATTTTTTATTTTTTGTTCAGTGATAGTTTTTTTATTTCAGTAATTGCTTCTGGCATCTGTATGACGTGCACTTTTTTGGGCAGCTTTTGAATATTCTAATAGAGGTGCTTGTATAGTATACATATATATGGTATAGATATGTGTATGTGTATATGTATATATATATGTGGCATATGTACAGGTAGTATGTGTGTGATTGCAGTTGGATTCTAACCTGTGTGTAGAAAATGGGTGGGAGGAAGCTTTTATCAGATGACTTCTGAGGGCCTTCTCTGTGACCAGTTGCCTTCACGTCAGTTAATTTTTGGCTGCTTACTGTGATTGTTCTGAGTTCCTACACTTCTTAACACTGTTACTGATTTTGTCAACAAAATTAACAGACAACCAAGTCTTTCTTAGAAGTAGCTTATTGTTTGGAAGTGTTGTAACCTTTGTTTTGCTCTCCCTAGGATGCAGAAAATGCTATTGTACACATGGGAGGCCAGTGGTTGGGAGGCCGCCAGATCAGAACTAACTGGGCAACGCGGAAACCACCAGCCCCCAAAAGTACACAAGAAAGTAAGGCCCTCATGTGATGCTGTGTTGTGTTTGCTGCATGTCACTGCTCAGTGGGGGAATAAAACATAAGCCAAACTCATGTCACTTAAATTACATACCTAGCTTGCCTTCCAGATCTTAAGGAATAGATTTTTTGGTACTTGTGGCACTACGGGTCTGTCATAAAATATTGAGTGTTTTTGTTAAATGTGAAATTCATACTGGTGTACAAGGTGAGTATCTGGAACTTACTGTTGTCCCACTGCTGAAAACCAGCCTTTTTCTCTTTATAGATAACACAAAACAATTGAGATTTGAAGATGTAGTAAATCAGTCAAGTCCAAAAAATTGTACTGTGTACTGTGGAGGAATTGCCTCTGGGCTAACAGGTATGAATTGTTTTATTGCTTGTTTATTATTGAAGCTTCTTGGACACCAAGACAGTTACTCATTTGAAAACTTTTTATGTTGTAGATCAACTTATGAGACAGACTTTTTCCCCATTTGGACAGATTATGGAAATAAGGGTGTTTCCAGAAAAAGGTTACTCATTTGTCAGGTATGGACAAAGCAAAGTCAGATCTGTGGGTCTGTGTGTGCAGTAATGTTTCATCTTTCTGTAATTTCACTCGATTGAATTTCTCCTGATGCATTAAAAGCTGTCACCATATGCTCATAGAATAATTTGGAACTTTTAAAAGTGACCACCAATCTTTTTACCTGAGAAGATGAATGTTTGTGAAAGCAGATGTTTTTCCCTGGATTTCCTGTATGTATGGAGTCAGTGTATTTTAACAGTAAGGTGGAAGTCCTGTAAAGCATAACATTATTTTGTTTTTACATTCTTTAGATTTTCAACCCATGAAAGTGCAGCACATGCTATTGTTTCAGTTAATGGAACCACAATTGAAGGACATGTTGTTAAGTGTTATTGGGGTAAAGAGTCCCCTGATATGACTAAAAACTTCCAACAGGTAACTGCAGTTTGACCTTTTCTTTGTGTTAAAAAAGTGATCACATATATACTTGTAATGCCTTCCCAGTTGTAATGGGTAAATTTTATGGAGTTCTTATGAAAGTCCATGTTCTGTCTCAGTTATGTTCCAGTTGTTCATCAAATTGGGCTAGTGATTTTGATGGAATATCTGTTACTGTCTTCTGGATATGATTCAAGATAGGGAGAAACATTGAGGTAATTCTGATTCTTGCTGTTTCTCTAACTGCAGACCAGGGGACTGTCCAACCAAATAGTCTTTGGTGTTTCAAGCACACCCAAATAATTGTTCAGTACAAGGATCTAATCAAGTCGGAGCGATGTCTTATTTTTCTGATCTCATTATTGCCTGGTTTAGCCCTGTGATTGATACAGCCAAAACTGCCTTCAGCAGCACAAATGCAACCTAAACCATCTGTGGAAGCTGAAGTGTGATGGATTGTTCTCTCCCCAGGTGGATTACAGCCAGTGGGGGCAGTGGAGCCAAGTATATGGGAATCCCCAGCAGTACGGGCAATATATGGCTAACGGGTGGCAAGTACCATCGTATGGAATGTATGGCCAAGCATGGAATCAACAGGGTTTTGGAGTAGAGTAAGTAATTTTATTGAATTTTGTAGACTATTCCAAGAATGCAGCAGCTGAGTTTCAGGCTCACTTAGGTCAAGGATTGCACAAAGTGTCAAACCTTGGGTGGACTCCTGTGTGCTCAAAGCTTGTGTTTGGTGATTTCCACGGACACACACCCGGGTGAGTCGCTCTGGTTTGGACCTGATGGCACATTCCAGGGGGGTGGGGAAGGCACAAACCCCACCTCTGGCTTGGACCTGATAGCACATTCCATGGGGGTGGGGAAGGCACAAACACCACCTCGTGTGGAGTTTGGGATGCTCTTGTCTGATACCTAAACACATTGTGGATTCTGACTTGAACTGGTGAGTACTGGAGAGTGTGAGCCAGGGACCCTGGGTATTTTAAAATAACTTGTTTTACTCAGGTTATCTTCATTTTCTGCTGCCAGTTAAACAACTTAATACTTGATAAACCTATCACTGTATTCATGCCAGTGAGGCACTGGGTATTTTTTGCATTTCTGGATCACTGATGTTCACTTCCAGCCACTTGTGTGTGTGCATGCCTTTGGAGGTGGGTGCCCTATACAGCCAGTGCCCAAGGTTTGTGGGGCTTTTTTTCCTTTGTTCTTGAAAAGTTCATGACATTTTTGAGAATCACATGTTGTTGTGCTTAACCTGAATTACTCATTGAAGAGAAGAAGAAATTGTTCTATTTTGGCACAAAGATTGTGTGGGAAATACGTTTTTAAGTTCTTTTTTTTTTTTTTTTTTTAGCATGTTGTCTAGTAAATAATTTTCCCCCTTTTTTTAACTATCCTGTTTCTTTTTAAGCCAATCTCCATCTGCTGCCTGGATGGGTGGATTTGGTGCTCAGCCTGCCCAGGGACAAGGTGCTCCTGTAATACCTAACCAAGCTGGATATGGTATGGCAAGTTACCAAACACAGTGAGCTGGGACTCTGTTTTAAAGTGTGTATTTCATGATAGGCTGCAGTTTCCAGTGACATTCTGAAGACTGGAATGTAGACAATGAAAAAAAGAAAATATTTATTTTAAAAATGGAAATGTTTGGAACCTTTAGCACAGCTTTGCTTTGGTGAAGGACACAAATGTCTTCTAGTTCTGCCTTTTTAAGTTTTTGTTCATGATGGATATGAACATGTTTTTCTTTGTGTACAAAAATTAAAAATAAAGTCAATAAAGACAATTCTGACTACAAATTTTGATATAGTAGGAGAAATGGCTAACGAATTTGATCCTTAGGTTACCATTCCATTTTTTTTTGTTTTGTTTTGTCGTCAGTGTTTTATATCATTGTGCTTTTAAAAGAGAAATGAGGTTGGAAAACAGCAAGTTGCTTTTAGCTGAACACACATCCTGAAATAAACTGTGGACCAATCACTACAAGCTGGGAGACAGTATTGAGTTTTCAAGAAACCTATGGGCATAGCTCAAAGGGTATGTAGGTCTTGGAATAATTTTTTTAAAAAAATATTTAATTTTTCTACATGCTTAAAGAGAATACAGTCTGATACAACAAATAGTTCAGTCTGAAATGAAAAGCAGTACTGTCTGAGAAATTTCACATAACTTTTACTGTCCACATTCAGGCACAGGTTAAAACTTTTCAGAGCTGGTTTGCTTGTTAAAACTGTAGGAATTTACTTTTAATTTTGAGAAGTAAAAACGTTTTTACAAGTATGTTGTTTGTATTCAAACCAAACAGTCATACTTGGGCTTTTACATAAAGTTTGAAGGCTACACATTGTAAATATTTCATAATTACAGTGTTTCAAAAGCATGCTCAAACATAGAAGTAGCAATGTAATTATTCAAAGTAATACTTAATATACTCTACTGCTTTAAATGCAGTAGATTGACAAGAATGTGCAAGACTGACATTTCCAAAGTTGGCTAATATGTAAAGTTACATAAAGAACTATAACAAAGAGCCTTAATTTTAATTTCATAAATCTTTAATGCATCACCTTTTTGTCATTAGAAATACAAATTTTTTGCTTTACATTATTTGGTATGTAAATACCTTGGTTAACAACCTTGTAAACCTCTTTCAAGGTTATTATAAGTTGTATAGTATCTTGAGTGTTTTGAAAAATCTTGATGTTTTTTAAGTCTAGAAATATTTTGCCCAAGAATTTTTTAACAAGATTGTTAAAAACATCTTATTTTAGAGAATATTCAATGTGCCATTTGGTAAACGGAGATGCAGTTGAAACAGTACACTGAGTTGTGACTTATTTTTAATTCAAGTTTTTGTCTTTCTGGGTGGTTTGCATGTGATGAACCTGTACAGAGGCTGGGTTGTTTGTGTACTGAGTGTGTAAATGGATAAATCATGAAGATGTTTAAATGGTATACTTGGGTTATTTCTGAATTATTTTATGGATACATTGATACAAACTGCCTCAATAAATTTGAAGTTGAAAATGAATGTAAGTTAGATATAAGTACTGTGTCCTCCCCATGACAGCTAGAGGGTGCAAATGCCTCAGCTGTGTTCTGGAACACGCCGAGGCAGCACCCTTGGAGCAGGATGAGTAGGATTTGCAGTGATAGTTCAGTGCAGCAAACTTGCATTTTCAAAGAAACAGAAAGTTTGATTAATTTAGAGCTGATAGTTTCTAAGTGAGTGTCTGAGGAGCTGTACATTTTACCTTTTCTGTTTCTTACCATGCAGGTGTTGTGAGTTAGAATAGTCTGTTTTGAGATGGAGACTTGCAGTGATGTCAAACCCAGCCAGGCTGTGCAAACAACTACCCTGATTGCTGTAGCAAATCACACGAGGGGGCTTCTCCTCCTCTCCTGTTGACATGTGAAGTAGTTCCTTGACTTTTAGATGGGGTGGAAGGTGAGATATGTTGGCAGAGCAGCTCAGTCAGTCGGCTCAGCCGTGCCCAGAGGTCCCCGTGGCTCTGGGCACCTCATGCAATAATGACTGAAGGGAGTGTGGAACCACGAGTGCTCGTGGGGACAGAATCAGCCCTTTATCTCTGTTTCTCCTTTCTGCTCTACCCAGTGTTTCTCCACTCAAGATAGGGAGCTTGTCTACAGGACTCTTGTTTTTCTATAAATTTTGTATATATGTGAATATCTACGCGAGGATCGGCCTATACATTGTAGTTTGGAAAAAAAAAAAACTCACAAGTAAGTCTGTGGTTTTTGTTACACTCAGCCTTTGAAAAAAATCACGAGTCAGTAGAGGTATAAATTGCAAGTTACTTTAGGGTTTCTTAGGCTTCACTTGAAATCTGGGGTTTCTACATAACTGTAGGTGTTTGACATAGACTGTGCTCTGGATGCATGCTGGTATATAAGCAGTATGTTCTTACTGAAGATTTAGATGATGCAAGTACATTGCCACATAAATGCCCATATAACTGGGTGTGAGATTAAGGCAGTGATCTTTCAGGTCTCAATGTGTAGATCACTTTAAATCTGATTATTTAATATGCCTGCTGTAGAGCTGGGCCGTACCTGACCTGTATTTCAGGATGAAAGATAGGCTATACCTTCTGATTTCAGTCTTTTGTCATTGATTTTTATACAGCTTTTCTGTAATGGTGATATTTCTTCGCAGATGTTCAAGGTAGGGGAGTCTCCAGAGTCCTTTAATGTTCCTATAGCACTGCGAGGAAGAGTTGTAAATTAGATTGCTTTCTACTCAGTAGCATTCATAAATGCATCACTGATGATTTTTTGGCACCAAAGAGCCTCTTGCACCATTCTGCTTTTCTGAGTGACACTTAACACTGTTGTAATTTCTCTAACTACAGAAATCAACCACTACCTAACCCTCACCACTAGGATTTGGATTTCAAAAAGTATTGATTTCTTATGGCTTAAGTTGATGCTTGCAACCTAACCCAGGGTTGTAATCTGCGTTTGCAGAAGATGTTCAATAAAAGTGAAACATGATAAAGGGCTTATCCTGTATTGTCATCTGTCAAAGCATTGTCCCTCTTTGCTGTAAAACTGACAACAGGCAGACAAGGCTGAACTTGTAAACTATGCACTTGCAATCATGTAAAAGATGTTTTATTTAAAACTTTTCCTATCAAATGGTTTTGTATTTTGCAGAGTTGCAGTAGTAAGGCTGTGAATCTAAGGTTACATGTAGCTTCTCATCAGTCCTGCCTCCTTGTGTATATTTTTTACCAGTGTCCAGGCATACTCATCCTGCAGAACCTTCTTCCTTGCTGAGATAACTTCATGAGAAGCTATTCACTGTACCAGAACCATTGCCTTCATTTCACTCCAAAAAGTCTCACAGTGAATATAAGGCTTAGTTTTGCAGAAAAAAAATAGTGATTTGTTTTTCTTGTGTTTGTACACAAGGAAGCAGACTTAAACTGTATGGACATGATTAGTGTCTGATACTTCTTAATTATTTGACTGTTTTTGAACAAGGGCACAAGTGTTTGTTTTACTCACGTGAAACTGTTTCCTGGTCAGCAATAAAAGATTTTGTTGCACTGTTCTTACTTTGCAAGGTACAGGCAATCTTTTGTTCAATCAAAAAATTGATGGGGTTTGTGAAGAACTGCCTTGTTCCAGCATGAATCTTCATCTATAGGTACAGTCTGGGGTCTGGATTGCTGCTGTAATAGCAAAAGGAAGCTGCTCTTTTGAAAATGAGTGAGAATTCATTTGTTCTGATCATATGTGGTGCCTGTCCAACACTGGTTTAAGGATTTCATTTTGTAATGAAGTTTCTGTTCATAAAAAGGCAACTGCAAGGCAGTAGCTGCTGGGAAGGTCTTTGTTGTGTTTCATTTCAGCAACTTTTGTGAATCTAGTTGATGGTTTAAAAAAAAAAATTAAAAATTGTTGTGCTTTTCAGTATCACCTGGATAACATCCCCCCCCTTTACTGTAATTTCAAATCAAAGAAAATGCTGAAGTGTTTACTGGATATTTTACTTGGAAAAGAAACAGGACTTCATGTTGATGAGTGAACACTTATTCTGTCATCTTTCTGAGGCTCATCTAGACCATGGATGTGAATGACATGCTCTGCTCACTGACATTTAAAGGGTAATGACTCAGAACTTTAATTTGACATCAGTAATGATTATTTGAATACAACTTATTCTTGCTTAAATACACAGCTCCTCATGCTTTGATTAAAGCTGATCTGGTTATTAAAGTATTCCTGAAACGCAGTGGGAAGAAACATGGTTTTACCTTCTCTCTCAGTGTTGAAGCTGTCACTGAGGCATCACAGTTGCACAGACAGCATTGTTTTGTTCAGAAGAAAAACACCGGGGCTGTGTCGGGGAATTCAGTGTAAGCTGCCTTTCCTGTGCTGATGGGTGATGGCATTTGAATATTTACCTTCTGAAACGAGGGCTCAGTCACCATTCCTTGCGTGAACCCAGCTTCCCACTGACCCCAAATCCTCAGCAACTGTCTTTGCCAGCTGCTGGCAGGGAAGGGAGGAGGAGGAGGAAAGGGGAAGATGCTGAGGGGAGGTGGTACCTGTGCCAGCCCCGGGTGAGGTGCAGCAGCACCGCTGCCAAGTCAGGTTGTCAAACACATTTAAGTTCATGACAGGCTTACACAGATACCACAGCAGCACCCAAAGTGTCCTGGCCATCAGACACAAACTTGCTTAAAAGAATGTGGCTTTAAAATTACAAAAGTAGAAACCACATACCCTCTGGCCATTCTCTGAGAAAACAGATGCACATTGAACAGCCCAGCTAGAACACCCAAGGTGACTAAATAAGAAACTTTAAGGAGCAAATTGAGTTAAGCATTTGAATTTATAGACCTTTACCTAATGTAGACCTCTTAGCTTGGCATTCTGTTGTGTCTGTATTGACTGTTCTGCTTGGATAATTGAAGTAGTTTCAGATATGCACAGCTGCTTGTTGAACATCTTCCCATTCTTTACAACTTCTGGAACAGGGGTGGGTAGGAATTGGATAAGAATCCTGGGTCTACCACATGAAACTGGATAATGCTCACATTTCCTGGATGGAAAATGACTCACTGGAGCCAACTCTGTAGGAGAATAAATGTTACAGGGGATGATGAAAAGCTGCCATCCTCCATTTGGGTTGCTGGTTCTTTGACCTTAATAAATGGGGAGTTATTACTGGGCAGCTGTTCCACAAAAAAATGCTCTTTGTGGTTTTTTTGGTCCTTTGAGTGAGGCAGATCTTTTTCACTGCATTAATGATTTGTTTCCTTTAATGCCAGATTGTCCAGCATGATGGGAAAGACCAATTGCTATAATTTATTGCTTAGTTCAAATCTTCCAACTCAGGTACTGACTGTGGGGAAAATCACCCACTTAGTTATTAAAAGAACTATTTAATTTTGCAATATGTGTTTGTGGAACCATTTCTAATTGAGTTTTACTCTCACCTGAAAGCACAGGGAGTCTATGCTAATACAGCTTGGAATCAACAGCTTGGAGCTGCTGTCCCAGATCCCTGTTGTACAGACAAGTGCTGGAAACATTTATGCCTTGCTCCTCTTGTGTTCTGTAGAGAATAAATCTGGTCTGTATATTTGCAAATGCTCAGAGAAAGCTGAGGTGCAGTATTTTCTGAACTCCTGCTGTGAATTGGGGCTTCTTTCATTTATGGGTACATGGTGTGGTTTTGTTGTGTTTGTGACAATTATCTAAAAACATGACTGATTTCAGACTAAGAAAAATAAAGTGTGACTGTTTCTAGGACTGTTCCTAGGTGAATCTTGCCTCCTACTTGGGTTTATGTATTCTATGGAACGAGTATATGAAGGTCCAAAATCATCTCTCATATCACTTAAAATGGACACTTTCAGAAGGGAGCAAATCACTACAAACTTGCAGTATGGATATAGCAAGACCTTGTTCTGGAAGTGCAACAGCTGTTCCTATGTATTGCTAATATTTTTTAAATGGTCAATACCTGAGATCAGAGGACCAACATGTATTACTGAATATATTTTGCTTTTTGGAGAGGATTTAAGGCGAGTAGACGAGGTGGTGCTGTGTTCACATTGAACTCTGAGAGCGTTCCTTCCATCATCCTTTTGTTTTGTGGGCTTTCAAGAAACAATACAGAACCTGTCCTGCCTGATGTATACATGGAAATTTGACAAGGTATGTGATACTGTGCTTTAAATTCATTTTACAAGGTCACAGTGTCTAGTGACAAGGGTCTGACAAGCTGCATGACTTAGAAAATTGACATTTCAGTGAAATGCTTCTACAGCAAAATCTTACTGGGAGGTATTTCTGGAGCCTCTGGAGGAAGGCACGATGGTGTCTCCTTAGAAGTATCCAAATGTGTCCAAATCTAATTTTACTGAGGCTGTAGAAACGGGCATTCCCTCATCATGATTTTCATTGTAGAAAATGCACATGGACACTTGAATTGTGAGTGGTTATGACCATGTATCTCTCATTTTCCATACCCTGTCTATTTTGCTGTGTTTCTCACTTTAATTATGTGTGTTTCTAGTCAACAAAGCTGTACTTGCTTTGCATGCACAGTGTTACATTTGCCTTTGGTTCTTAGCAGAAACACACTGACCTCATATAATTTTTAATATTCCCCTGTACTGCAAAAATCTTTGATTTCTGTTGTCTCTACTTGGTTTAATATTTACAGATGGGTGTTGAAAGCATGTGTTAAGTACTATTTTTTTTTTGTATCTCCAGGTTCATCCCAGGCTAAACATAATTCACAAAAGCTGGGTTTTCTTCACTGTACCCCCTAGTCAGTCCTACCTATGTGTAGTCCAGAGGGGCTTAGAATGCTTTTGGGATTTTGATAACAATTTCATAATTCATGTCTAGTTCAATATATGAATATTTTATTATCAAGTTTTTTATTGCTGTAAAATTGGCAATTGAAGACTGTATCTCTGCATCTCAAGATTTAATTCATGGTACTGCTTTGTCTTCTGAAAGCTGGTTTTAAATCTTGTGGGTAAAAAAAAATTACATTTGCAATATAAAAGGATAATAAAATTCCTTCACCATAATTCTTTATAGAACAAAGCTGAAGAAACTCAAGAAGACTGATTTAGCGGTAAGGTTTCTATCAGGCTCAAATATACATTTCATACTAAACTAATGAAACAATTTTACTTCTTCACTGTCAGATGCAAAGATCATAAAACTGTTTTTGATAAAGAAAAATCACACATTTAAATTGCAAGCTTTGGAACACTTGATTGTGCAGTTTGTGAGGAGGTATAGGTGTAACTAATGTAAGGTGGGAGCACTGCTGGAGTTCTTTAGCCTGTAATTCAGTTTCTGCATGGTTAAATGTTGCTGCCAGAGTTCTGCAGTCTGGATTTTGGCGTGCATAAAGCTGTGGAGCTGGAGGTACTGAGGAATGTTCCACAAGATTAGGGATAAAAGTTGACCCTGTGAACCTCCTTGTACTAGAAAGTATTACAAAGGAGTGAGTCAGAGCTTTCTCTGAGTTCAAAGTGAGGAGTGTTGGACAAATTCCTCTGATTTATTTGGGCAAGCCTGAAATAGAATGCAATTTTCTACCAGAATTCTCTTCAAGGCTCTTTTATGCTGTGTACCTTCCAGGAAGGTTATGTTTAGATTTGTTCTGCGTGTATCTTATTAAAAGATGAAAAACGTGTTTTATTATCTGCTCTTTTACTCTGGTATCTCTGAATTCTTCAGCCAGGAACTGCATTTAGCTAAGACTTGTGAATCTTGGTTTGAAGCTGAAGATGGCTTGCCTTGTTTAAGGTTAATAAAACTAAAAAGTGAGTCTTGGCTTTGAACTGAAAAAACTACCCCGGATCTTAACAACATAAAGTCACGTTGCTTTCTCCAGCACAAGTAGGTTTAACCACACCAGTGTGTTCTGGCAGCATGTCACTCGTTTCTCTGTGGTTAAACTGTCAAAACATGTGTGCTGAAATATTTAGGTTAAAAAGCATAAACTGGAGTCCCTAAAGGCTCATGATACTCTGTGCATTTCAGCATTGGCTGATTTGGAAGGAAAAACTCTGAAACCGTGTTTGCTGCCCCATGAAGAACATCAAGGTGATCAAGATGAATGTGTGTGAAATAAAACCTGGTTTTATTGAACCTAATGGTACTGTGGACAATCTGTGATTTTTATGCACACATGGATTAAAATGCCTCATTCTCTGGCCAGAATGCAGTGCAGCATCCAGTCTTATTTTCTACTATTTCTGTTAACACTTGCAGTATAACAGGGAAATAAACTTTGCAAGTCTAAAATCAGATTTTGAAGTGCTGGGAGTTTTTTTTTTGTTGTTGGTTTTGGTTTTGTTTGGTTGGTTGGTTTTAGTTTAGGGGTTTTTTTTCCAGAGAAATGAGTTTTCCTGCTTTGAAGGCCTCTCCTCATTGTTAACATTTCCAATTTCCATGTAAATAAGTACCACCTCCACTGAAACCAGTTGCATTATGTTGGTGTAAATGAAACCAGAGCTTTAAACCATGAGTTGTGTTTCTCCTAAGTCTGTTGATTAGTTTTGAGTCTCTCAGTTGCAATTAGGCATTGAAATGAGCTGTGCATTTTATGAATTTTCTGTGGAGTTATTCATAGTTCAGTATGTTCCAGAATAGATTTTTTTTGCAGTGGCAACAGCTAAGTACAACTCCTTCCATTTCTTTTCAAATCCAGCTATTGAAATTGAAGCTAAATTATTCTTCAGAATACAAGTCAAATTTTAAAATAGAATCTTTGTCTGAAATCACATTGTCAAGCGTGTTTCTGCCTTTTTGGGTGTCTGGCACATTCCCATTCCCCCACACACACACCTGTTCCTGCCAATGGCAGTGGGAAATCTGCTGGACTTTATCCCAGTTGTCAAACCTTCCAGGATTTGGGATGGTGAACAGTCCAAAACTTGC